TATGCTGTTCTCCAGGCCAGCCTGAAAGGACTAAAACTCCAATCTCCTGCAAATGGGATATGGACAGTGTGCACTTCTGTGATGAACTGAGACTCCATCCATCTGGCTCTGCTCCAGGACTCCACCAGTGCAAAAAACGGCTGCGAAAACACCTGGTAGGCTCCAACCAGGTGCACGATAATGCAAACGTTGGCCAAATCGACGACCCAGAAAGGCTCGTAGAAACCATGATCATCTGTCAAGAGGTTCCCAGGAGCATCATTTCCAAATGCCAGGTAGCCCAGAATCCCACACAGCAAGTAGAAGAAGCTGGCCACCAGGATTCCAACACTCGTCGCCTGCTTCATCATCCTCTTCTCTCTCGGGGAAGATCTCAGCGTGTCCTGCAACACAATTTCCACACTAAAACTCCATTCCAGCCCAGAATCAAAACACCAATAAAAAGGCTAGCTAGCTTGCCTGTATTTCAATCAGAACAAAAGAGAAAGCAAAGGCTAATGCAATGTTTCCCAGTGCAGAGAAGGTACTAAACATCTTGTCTTTGATTGAATGGTTCGCTCCAACAGGCACCCCCGTCACACCCATCTTCACTTCCACTCCACCTAAACAAAAATCCAACACAACATAACCAAGAAATTGAAGTCTTACAACACTGTCCTGCAAGAACCTGCAGTTCAGTTGTAAAAATTTCCAGTATATATAAGCATTGCAAAATTTGCATTACTCGCGATTTGAGCTGCAGAGAGGCCAAGCCCAATGGAGGAGTAAGCAAACGACATGATGGCAGCAACTACGGAGATAAAGGTAAGCTGGTGAAAATTTGGAATCTGGCTAAGCAGAACCTGCACTGCTCCAAACATGAGTATGAAGTTTCGTTTTGATGGAATGCAATTCGCAGTGCCACGGCCATGGAAGTGGTAACAGTTGGTTCTTGCAATTGCCCTGAATGATGACTAAAACCCATTAAACCAGGTAATAAGCTCTCACAGATGTATCCTAAACTATTCCATTGATGACAGAAAATGGATGGAAGGAAGTAAGTTTACTGTATGCAGTGCTTACTGCAAGCTTAAAGCTGTGGTGATGGCGTATCCAATGCTGAGGCCAATCAGAGTAGCATATTGAGCTAGCCCACAAAGCTTGAACTTCATGCCGCCTGTGCAGAGAAAGAGAGGGATTTAGGGTGTTTAATGCACCAAAATGTATGAAGAAAGGTGTGAATTTTTTGGGGAAAACCCGCAGGAGGGTGTGCACAAGGTAATCCACTATTGTGATATTAGCCCTCAAACAAAGATAAATCTGTCTAGGTTGTGCATAGTTGACTGACTCAAATAAAAAATGTTAATAGGTCGTTCTAGTTGGGAGTAAAACTTGTAATAATTACCAAGTCAACGGTCTAACCAACTTGGTTAGAGTTTGCCAAATGTGTGATTCCACTACCGGAGAGTGTAATTGGTAAACCAGTCTTGTGACTCTAGTTAATAAAGGATTATGAAGATTTAAACTAGGTTGTCCATAAACTAGTTTGGTTGGCGTGAGTGGCCATGAACTCTCATCCCTTAAGAGAGGTCGGGAGTTCAAACCCTCCTCTCGTATAAAAAAACCAATTTGTTCCTTAATTGGACCGGTCCGGTGCAAATGGAGATTAGTAAAATCAAGAAGGTCAATCTTTACTCCAATAGTAAAATTTGTTATTTAGCTGATCAGCGTAAGCCAAGAAAATATATTAATAGGCAATTTGTATTGGGAGTAATTCGTAACCAACTTAGTTAGAGTTTCTATTGGGAGTAATTCGTAACCAACTTAGTTAGAGTAGGCAAAAGGTGTGATTTTTGGTGCGTACATACCTAGATGAGTTCTAACGGCGTCCATGTAAGTGTAGTTCCGTTTGCCGTCCGGTGAACGGTAGCAGTCGGCGAGCAAGAGCGAGGTGTACAAAGTGATGACGGCGAAGGCCACCATAGCCACCGGTCCGGCGACGGATCCTAGCTGCGCAATAGCCCATGCCAGAGACAAAACTCCCGACCCGATTATGGATGTTATGATGTGAGCGCTCGCCGTAAACACATTTCCTACATAATCCAAACATTAACAAACAAACCATCTTCCTCAGCTTCAATCTTCCATTTCTTTTCTGGGTTAACAGAAGAAAGAATCTCTCTTGCAACAAAAATGGGAACTTTGAAGAACTGAAGAGAGATATAGCAGGAATATATATATACCAGTTCGTTTGATGTGACCATCTTCATCGTACTTGGAATCATCACCTCCACCTTCTTCAACAGCAAGACTCAGACTTCTCTGCATTTCTGCAAATCTCTCTCTCTCTCTCTCTCTCCGGGAATGTTGAATATATATGATACTACTATCTATGCAGTACACAAGAAACTGAACTCTCTATCAGAATTACTACACTGACGGTCACAGTTAAAAAGCGAGAATTCATTCATGGAAAATATTTAATTCCCTGGGTCTACCCAAAAGTGGTTGATTCGGTAGCTATAAAATTTCTTAAGTTTGATTTAAGTTAAAATGACTTAGACCTTCTCGATTTAAATCAATCATTAGGTTAATTTTTGTTAATAATGAAAAAATTCACTGCTACTATCAGATTGTATGGATCCAATAAATATGACTTTGTGACCCAATAAATAATCATAATTTGCTCAAATCTATAAGGTTAATAGACAGGTTCTTGGTGGAAACGATCCTAGAAATAATGCAGATTTAATTTCCACATATCACAATTCGCTTTAGACCAACTCTCATGTCTCCTAGAACGAACAGGGATTAGTCGGATCTAGAAAGACTCATAAAAAATTTCCCTTAATCAGAACAAATATTAAGGGGCCGTTTGGTTCACGGAATGTTAGATTACCTTAGGGAATGTAAGATTACCTTAGGGAATGTTAGATTGCTAGGAATGTTAGATTACTGGGAATGTTAGATTCCCGTGTTTGGTTAAAATTGAGGTATGTAATATTATCATGTTTGGTTTAGGGTTATCTTTATATATATATATATATATATATATATATATATATATATATATATATATATATCTAATATCCTTAACATATTTTCATATATTTTAATAAATTTAATCATTAAATTAAATAAATAAGATAACGGTATCATATTAATAATAATAATAAGCTAACATAAAATATATATCTTTAAATAATTAGAATTAAAATGACAAAATTCATAAATATGCAAGGTTATCTTACATTACCTAACAAAATGAAGGGAATCACATTCCCTTCAAAATCCTATGTAGAGGGAATGTTACATTCCCTGGGAATGTTATATTCCCTCAGAGAAAATGAACCAAACATAGGAATGTAAGCTCGGGAATGTCACATTCCCTTGGTTATATAATATAACCTGAACCAAACGCCCCCTTAATTTCCTGTACAATGATAATCCTATGCAATAATTTCCTCTCTGACTAACTGCTTGGTGGGGGAGAAAGCACAATTAATGGTTATGAATGTATTGTAGTCAACTTTGGTTGAGTAAAACTATAGACCCTTGTCAAATGTCAATTCACTGAATTTGATCATTGATGATATTATATGATATGATGCAGTTAACAGTTGGAAAGTATGCTTAATTTTTAGCCTGTCAGGTTCCATGAATTCTGGGAATCCTATTCCAATTTTGACAGCAATTATTACCCTTTTTATGGTGGAATATATGTTGTATTGTTATTATATATGTTGACGGTTCAATTAAAAGTGTAATTAAGAATTTTTTCTTGAGAATAAAGTGTAATTAAGAATTAAATTAGCTAACGTAACAAATAACTGAGAAGAAACGTTCGGAACATCATCCACTGCATACAATTCATCCTTAAAAGGACTAATCATTAAAGATTTAAGAATAGGAATCTGTTCTATAAAAAATTGCCTAATATGAGTAAATGAAACATTCAGTGGTCTGAGACAAAAGAGTTAGAGAGAAAGACTATTTAAATGGACAAAGTAAAAAAGTTTTTTTATTTTAAATTTTATTTTCATACCGCACTCAGTATCTCCACCACTATGATACTATACTAATTTGTATTCAGTCCTAGCTATAAAGTCTGATTTTTTATTCAGGAGAAGGCATAGTCCACCCTGTAGTTCAATTGGTACTCTGCTAGTTTACGCAAAACTACCCGGTTAATGAAAATGTTATATTTAAGTGCATGTGCACATTGATGGATACCCCTAGTAGGGTACCCAGTCAGGAGTGCCCCTGGACGGTCAGGAGATTGCGGTGGGATTACTTAAAGGGTTGGGGGGGCCTCGGTAGCCTAGCTCCGACCCACCACATGTTTAGCTCGCTAGTCAACTCGGTCCAGCAACCAGACTAGGCAATCGGATGGGCCTCGACCGGGTGCAACACTTAGGGGGTGGTGGAAGAAGATTTGGCGGAGATTCTTATTAGATTTGGCGTGGAATTTCCTTTCTTACATTAGGAAATATACATAGCAGTATATAAACTTTCCTAAGTTCAATTTGTTAATTTCTTCTTCTTTACATTTTTCAAGGTCCAAGTATCTTGTATAAATACTTCTGGAGTCACATTGTAGAGGGTTCTGTGAGCACTATTACTCTGTCAAAATTCTCTCTCGTTTTTCTTAAGTATTTTTACGATAGAGTTGACACGCCGTCCAACTATCCCTAAGTCATAAAACCAACACATATAATTGAGGAGGGTTGGATTTAATAATTTGTTGTAGTTCAGTATATTTCTAATGATAGCTCAATTGTTAAAGATTAAAATTTGGGTCATCATATTCCACCCAACTTATTTATTTCTTGACAAATTAACTCGTTTCGACTAGCCGTATCAAAGAATAATAATACATTTATGTTTAAACCTTACTCTCTTTAGAAATTATAGTTCAAATATTGTGATATATATATAACCTGCTATTCACCTAGTCTATCAAGAATTGGTTCAGATTAGGCCATTTCAGATGCCTGCATTTTTCTGATACTGCTTCTGAATTTGCTTTAAGCATGATTCTCATCAGTTTATTGTTTCCCAGCAGAAAGATAGTGCAGCTTGACATTAAAGATTGCTTAGAAGCTTCAAAATTACAGCAAATGATGAGTTATTCTGAAACTTTTCTATGGCTCTGGCTACATAAGTACAGAGATTAAGTAGTCACCATAACCTTCTGGCATTCTATCTATGCAAAGGGCTTGAAATGCATGACAGATTTGGCTAGATCGCAAATCGAGCCAACTGCAGCAAGAACTGAGACGACGAAGCAGAAGAAACTCAGAATCTGCAGCCAAATCCATGTGAAGGAGAGTCTCGGGATCTTGGCCTGCGAAATGTACATCTCGACGGGGAAGTAAATGGTGAGAGGCCAGAAGGCAATGGATCCCAGGAGGCCAAGAATGGCATTGAAGAATGGGAAAATCATGGCTACAACAGTAGTAAACACCACAAAACCTGTCCTCCATACCAGCCTGAACAGACTAACACTAAAATTTCCCAGGAATGGGAACCTTATGGTGTGTTCCCCTGTGATGAACCAAACCCCACCCCATCTGGCTCTGCTCCAACACTCCACAAAGGCAAAAACTGGCTGCACGACAACCTGGTACGCCCCAACCAGGTGTACGATGATGCACACGTTAGCCAGGTCGACGAGCCAGAAGGGCTCGTAGAACCCATGATCATCTGTCAAGAGGTTCCCCGGTGCTGCATTCCCGAACGCCAGGTACCCAAGGATCCCACACAGCAGGTAGAAGAAGGTGGCTGACAGAATTCCAATGCTCGACGCCTGCTTCATCGCCCTCCTCTCTCGTGGCGAAGATTTCAGTGTGTCCTGCAACAAAACCACCACCATAACCTCCCCAATCCAGAACAATTGAAGCATAGTCACTTTGGGTGACGTAGAGATTCAAACTCATGACATTTGGTCTGGCTCTGATAGCAAATTGAAGCATGTGCTCCATCTCAACTAAAAGCTTAAGCTGATAGTTAGATTGCACATTAATGATGATATGCTCAACAAGAACAATAAGGCTAGCTAGCTCACCTGTATATCAATCAGAATAAGACTGAACCCAAAGGCTAATGCAATGTTCCCCAATGCAGAGAAAGTACTAAACATCTTGTCTTTGGTCGAATGGTTCACCCCAACGGGCACCCCCGTTACACTCGTCTCCACATCCACCCCACCTAAACAAACATTCCATACAATACAAGCAGCCAATCAAGAAAGAAATAAAGTATTGAATAGCTTTTGGCGTAGTGGTAAACTCTTGATCTGACGAGTTTAACTTTGAATACCTGCAATTTTAACTGCAGAGAGAGCAATCCCAATGGAAGAATAGCCAAAAGACATGAGTGCTGCAACAATGGAGAGGAACCAAAGGCGGTGAAAATTTGGTATCTGGCTAAGCAGAACCTCCACTGCTCCAAAGATGAGTATCGAGCTTCGTTTCGATGGAATGCAGCCCTCAGTTCCACGGCCATGCTTGTGGTAACAGTTTGTTCTTACAATCGCCCTAAATGATGACTAAACTATGTAATTTCATCTCAATTAAAAGCCTAAGCTGATAGTTGGATTGCACATTCATGGTTATATGCTCAGACAGAAAAGTAAAAAAGAAATGAGTTTTCGATCTGCAGTGCTTACTGCAAGCTCATGGCGGCGGTGATTATGTACCCAATGCTCGCCCCAACAAGAGTGGCATACTGAGCTACCCCACAGAACTTCACTTGCACGCCGCCTGTGTAAACACAGAAAAAAGGTATGATTTTGCAGAGATATTTATGAGAAAAAATTGAATCTTGATGAACATTATATATATATATATATATATATATATACCTAGATAAGCTCTGACGGCGTCCATGTAACTGTAGTTCCGTTTGCCGTCCGGCGAACGGTAGCAGTCGGCGAGCAAGAACGCAGTGTACAAAGTGATGACGGAGAAGGCCACCATGGCAATCGGTCCGGCGACCGATCCTAACTGCGCAATAGCCCACGCCAGAGACAAAACTCCCGACCCGATTATTGCCGTGATGATATGAGCGCTCGCAGTCAAAACAGTCCCTACATAATAAACTTCATTAGATACAAAATAAAATAATCTTTCATGCATAAATTTTCTTTGAAATACATATACCAGTTCTTTTGGAGCGACCATCTTCATCATACTTCAGATCATCACCTCCACCTTCCTCAACAGCAAGACTCAAACTTTTCTGCATTTCTGCAAATCTCTCCCTCTCTCTATATCTATCTATATGTGAAAAAGGATACTAGCTAGCTAATATTGTAAATGGAGGATATATAAGGCAAACTTCTCTCTCTCTCTCTATATATCTGTGTATTAGAATTACTACACTGACGTGCATAGTTAATAAGTAAGCATTCATTCATGGATAAGAACCAGTTACCCAGTTAACATGGTGTGAATTCAATATTAATTATTGTTAGGTGGAGGGCTATGTATTAATTAATTTGCCTACCTCAGGAGTTAACAGCTCTGTTTCTCTTGTCGATGCATGTTGTAAATTCAATTCGAATCGGGACATGTAAATTATTGAGATAGATATAGCAATTTACTTATAGTAGAATAGTAATTATATGCATTTATTTCATTATTTTACGGTGGGGCTAATGATATTATGAACATTTATTGAAGTTGACTAATTTACTTTACAGATTTTGTAAATATATTGATAAAAATTGAATTCGTTATATTTGTTCAATCTTCATGAACATTGGGTGTTATTTTGGCAATGGGGAGTGTATAGTACATGTTAATTACCAAAATGGTCTCTTGACTATATTGAAATTATCAATTTGATCATTGATTTTTTTTCCAATTTTAAAAATCTTAATCAATTTGGTTATTCGTTTGTTTAGCTGTCAAACATTCGTTTACTCAAAATCAAATTGGTAATTTTGTTATAGTCAATGGACCATTTCGGTCTATCACATATTCACATGCATCATTTCCTCTCTTATTAAATCAAAGAGTTAATTATTGAAATGGTGTCTTAACTATAGTGAAATTTTCAATTTGGTAGTAAACGGAAGTTTCCAAATTGATATTTTCACTATAATTAATGAACCATTTCGGTAATTAACTCTAAAGAAAATTTTGAAAAATTGAGTTACAATTAAGCTAAGAAACAAATTACAGAGATTCTTGCTAACAAACTATCTCATAAAGCTTAATCGTCACTATCAAACAGGCTGAGTTAGACATGTAACCAAAAACATAACAGAATATGAAAGTGGATTGGAGAAGATAAACAAAATATGCCTTGAATTGCTCTATATTGTTGAATCAGTAATTGTATTAGAATTACTACAGTGACGTTCATAGTTAATAAGTAAGCATTCATTCATGGATAAGAACCAGTTACCCAGTTAACATGGTGTGAATTCAATATCAATTATTGTTAGGTGGAGGGCTATGTATTCATTTGCCTACCTCAGGGAGTTAACATCTCTGTTTCTCTTGTCAATGCGGGTTGCAAATTCAATTCGAATGGAGACATGTAAACTATTGAGATACATATAGCAATTTACTTATAGTAGAATAGTAATTATATGCATTTATTTCATTATTTTACGGTGGGGCTAATGATATTATGATCATTTATTGAAGTTGACTACTTTACTTTACAAATTTTGTAAAGATATTGATCTATTTGTTCAATCTTGATGAACATTGGGTGTTATTTTGGCGAGGGGGAGTGTACATGCAAATTATACCGTGCACCAGGGGCGCAATGCATTGTGCGCTGTGGCCCAAAATGACATCGTTTTGTACCTTTTTTGCATGTCTGTTGTTAACTCCTTACAAAAAAAAAAAAAAAATTCATGTTTCGAATGTACAGAATTGTATAATAGAAAACACAAAATTTTATACATGAAAACACAGAATTTTTATAACTGAAAATCCCCATGTTTCGAATGTACATAATAATATAATAAAAAACACAGAATTTTATACCTGAAAACACATAATTGTATAACTGAAAATTATCATGTTTCGAATGTACAGAATTATATAATAGAAAACACAGAATTTTATATCTGAAAACACATAATATTTTTTTAAATGATAAAAATCCCCTGTTTCGAATGTATATAATTTTATACCTGAAAACACAAAATTTTATAACTGAATACACATACATTTTTGTCACGTTAATTCCCCACACAATTTACCAAAACGACGTCATTTTACCACATTATTATTATTATTATTATTATTATTATTATTATTATTATTATTATTATTATTATTACCCGTGCGTTGCACGGAATGAATTTGTTATAATCTTTAAGAATATTTTGATGAAGAGGAAATTTCAATTTTGGTCCTATGACTATAAGGTCTTGTTAATTTCAATCCCTGACTTTTAAAAGTGTCAATTTAGTACCTTAACTATGCAATTTTTGTCAATTTTGGTCACTCCTACCAAATTGTCGGCCAAATTTCACCGGAAAATTTTAATTGTTAAAATAATAAGGGTATTTTGGTCATTTCACGTCTCTTTTCTTTTTTCCAGGTGAATCCATCCCTTCCTCCCCCGTTTTCGACGAATGCAATGAACTAAGATGATGGGGAAAGGAGGCTTGATGATATTAAAGATAGGGTTTACAGGGAGAAAGAACGCCGGAAACGGGAGAGAAAGGGATGGACTCGCCGGAGAAGAAGAAAAGATGCGTGAAATGACCAAAATACCCTCATTATTTTAACTATTAAAATTTTCTGGCGAAATTTGACCAGAAATTTGGCCAGAGTGACCAAAATTGACAAAAATTGCATAGTTAAGGTACTAAATTGACACTTTTGAAAGTCAGAGACTGAAATTAACAAGACCCCTATACTCATATTATATAATGCAATTGATAAAATGAGTTGTATCAATTATGTTTTTTGATGTTATCCTTGCTTGAATTCGAGCAAATAATTGCCCAATTATCCGTACAGTGCGCGTGCAATGCACGTGCGATGCACGGATAAAATTTTTATTATATATTTAGATAATAAAATTGTTACTATTTCTTTAATCCTTTAAAAATTTGCTAAATATTCATTCAAATACGTATCAATGCAGAACACTATTGAAATTTTTCGTATGAGCAGAAACGGACATGAGAGATCGTTTCTACATTAGAGAGAAATGGTCTCCCCAAATATGCTTTTACTTTGTTGATATCTGGATTAAGATAGTATATATTAGAAAAAATTACGATATTAGTTTTAAAGATTTTAATTTTGGTAGGGCCTGACTTATTTATGCTAACAGGACCACAAAAATCTAAAAACTTGCCGGATCAAAATGGTTAAAAATTTTAAAGTTAAGAGACTTAATTAAGCAAAAAATATAGTCAAAGACCAAATTAATAATTTTGTTATAGTTAAATGATCATTTTGGTAATTAAAATTTTGAAAAATTGAGTTACAATTAAGCTAAGAAACAAATTAAGGGTGTGTTTGGTTCGCACATGAGAATCGGAATCGGAATGAGTATCAAATACCTGGTAATGGTAATGGATTTTGGTGAAAGTATTTAACATGTTTGGTAGTAGGGTGAAATGTGAATGATTACTAATAGTAGTGCTTGAAAATGAATAAGAAAATAAAAACTATTATTTTATTTGGATATGAATTTTTCAATTCATGGGATATTCGAAACTCATAGTAGTGTTCTAAAAACCTATCAACCAAACAATAAAAATCACTTTCATACCCATTCCCATGGGCAAAACTCATCAACCAAACACACCCTAAGTTATATATAGTCGAATTGAATTACAGAAAATCCTTGCTAACAAACAATCTCATAAGCTCAATCGTCACTATCAAACAGGCTGAGCTAGACATATAACCAAAAACATAACAGAATATGAAAGTGAATTGGAGAAGATGAACAAAATATGCCTTGAATTGCTCTATATTGTTGAATCAGTAATATTATAACTGCTAATTATTATCTCTTACTTCCCTGGGTGGAACATTTACAAATTTGGTAAATAACACCATGGACTGCAAAGGATTAGAAGTCAATGAATTCTAGTTCATTCATTCACAGCAAATTTACTGCTTTTGAGAATTAAGTTTGAAGTTGCTATCAGCCTGTGCTCATACATTATTGAGAATTTTAATTAGTATACATTATTTGAACAAATACATGCTATGTGTCAATGTTCAGTGTTCAAAACTGGGTTTTTAATCGCCAGAGCGCCATAGACTCCATAAGTGTGTAAGGCATCGTTCTTGTTCACCGTTAGGGCAATTAGCTTGCAGGTTGTGCACCTGTCCATACAGTATGATCTTCGTCATCTATTCTGTGATTCCGGGTATCTTGTAAGTATGATATGCCCGTCCATATTCCGCGGATGAGTAAGATACTGGCGAATACCACACTCCCAAGGGTGCAAATTACCTGGGGAGAGAAACTTTAGCAGTGTGGTGGAAGTCATTGACAGAGAGGATATCACGAGAAGAACTACATCGTTGACTTTAAAGGATCATGAGCACTAATTATAAAGCTTTGTTGAAAGTCAAGTGACGGAAAAATAAGAATTACACCAGAGAGGAAAGGGTGTAATTACCTCGAGAAGTGCCTTCAGAACCCATAAAAATGTCAAAATTATAACACCATTAACAGAAAATCCAACCTACACCCAGCAAAGAACATATTTGAGCATAACATTAACTAACATAACAAATAAAGGGAGAAGAAATGTAAGAAACATCATCCACTGCATAAAATTCATCTTTAAAAAACAGGACTTGTCATTAAAGAATAAGAAGCTTTGGCCAGTTACAAATGATAGAAATCTGTCCTATATAGAGAAATATATCCCCTTAATTCAGAGTATTTGCTTAAAAGTTTTTGCTCGTGATGAGTATCTTATCTTTATCACTCCTGAAACATAGCCCCTTTTGGAGTCATCCCCGCAAAAAGACCAAACTTAAATTGTTTTGACCTCTCAAATTTGAACATTAGAAAGGGAGCATCATCAACTGTCAAAGAAATGGTAGTATGATATGTATACTACTACTTAGTAGTCAGCACACATCTAAATCCCGCTACTAAGATACGATTTTTTGGTCACAAGTAGCTCAAACCTAACTGATATTACTAATGTTCAAATAAATTTAGTATTTCTCAAACAAAATTGGCCAAGAATAAGACCTTTAAAACCCATTCAAAGCATTATAGACACACTAATGCAAATACTTGTCAATGTCCATTGGATTAAGCACCTCAAAAACATAAAGATCTAATTATCGAAAATCGAAAATTCCTGAGCTTTGATGGCCACAACTCTCTCCTCCATTAGTTTATGGGCTATGGCAAGTGAAGATTATGATTCAAACACAAACTGGGAATTACATAAACTAAATAGATTTCAAAGTGAAGCAAATGCAGAGAAGTAGAGAAATACCAATTGGCTGGAAATGGCGACCGGCAAAACAGATCGAACAGCCTTTCTAGCTTTCCTCGAGATTTTTCTGAAAACGTTCTGAACAAATTTAATCAGAAGGTCCAAGCTGCGATCTTCATCTTCTTCATCCTCATCCTCATCCTCATCAAAGTCATACCCTCCCAATTCTATACCTACCCGGCCGCCCCGACGTTGACTCCGATATCGAGAATCATCCACCAACTTATCACCTTCCTACAACAAGCGGTGGTGGTGGTAAATTAATCGAGAAAGGCGTAAAGAATGAGAAATAAGAAAAAGGCGGACCTGAGGGAAAGTGGAGAAGCGCCTAGAAGCTTGTAGGTAGGAAGAAGAGGTTCCCCGGATGCGAAAGGGAAGAATGTCGATACGAGGTTGAAAATTGAAGCGAGGGGGAGAAGGGTGCACCAATTTAGGATACAAAGTGAGCCTCGCCGCCATTGGCAATTACTAGTTCAGTTTCAGTAGGTGAAAACGCCTAATCGTTCGTGCTGGAGCAGGTCTTGATACCAGAGAGCCGCCATGGGTATGAACTATGAATGTATGATCCACTATGAGAGTTAGTTGATTGCCTTTTTTTTCTTTTCTTTTTTTAATACTACCGTTATAATGTAATATCTGTTCATATATATATATATATATATTTTAACCTTTTCAATCAAGATTCAAACTCATCACCTTCCATTTGAAATGTTTTTTAATTAATAGTATCTGTTCATATCTACTTTTTCGTTTTTTACCGTTTCAATCAAAATTCAAACTCATCCCCTCCCATTGAAAAGATTTTTAATTAGACCACAAAATCGTTGGTTCAAAAAGTGTTGTGTCGACTATGAATTACAATAAAAAAATATATTTTTAATATATTAAAAGTAAAGTATTCATGTACTGAAGGTAAATATATATATATATATATATATATATATATATATATATATATATCGGAGACGGAGCAGGAAGAGTACTTCCCATCCCCTGCAGAGAATCTAAAATTGTCCCCATATCTCTCCGCAATTCCGCATTCCCATCCCCGATCCCTGTCCCTATCTCCTTCCCCGTAAGGACAGAGAATTGAGTTCCTCATCTAGTGCGGGTACAATTGACATCCCTAAGCCCATGATAGTTATAATTAAGTTACACCGAATTTAGTTCAAATCAAACCCGAAAGGTTTATAGAGCCATGAGGCCTAGTATAGACCTCTATAAATTCAAATCAAGTACAACTTGTCACTTCATAACTTATTACAGCATTTTCTTGTATGAAGCTAAGATGATGCATATAAAGTTCATTTGAATCCCATTAAGTTATAAATGATCCTATAGTATTTAAACAGTCATTAACCAGGAACCTTGAGTTCACAATTCACAATGCAATCTGAAAAAACACCACTGCGTTTAACCAAAATCAACTTTAAGGTATTGCTAACAATCAATCCCATGGAATTCATGTTCCTAACAAACAATTTTATCAGCTTATTACAGATTTACAGCTAGCTAAAGAGTGCCATATTTCCAGTATTTCTATGCAAGAACAGAAAACAAAGCCATAGTTGTTGTGTCAGTGAAGCTCTGATGCCTCCTTGGCTATTGATGCTAGAATCTGTCACCAGAGAATATCAATATCTGTTTCCAGAACAACATAATTCAGGGCGACATTGGAGCAGGGATAAAACATTGCAGCATATGAAATGACAAAACATGTGGCCATGGTGATAAAGTGTTGTGATTAGTAACCACAGATGAAGTTAAGCAATAAGCACGAGAATTTGCCATACAACTGCAGAAATGATATGCTGTTCAGATGAGCTGTAAGGAATTGGACAGCTAAACGGTAACTATAATGCTGAACCATAATCAAATGTTTGGATATAAAGATGAAATGTGCATCAAACATAGTGAATATTACTTGGAGAAAGCGATACCCATTAACATTTGACAACCAGATAACTACTCTTGGAGTACCGTATCTCTGTAAACATATATTACGACAACTTCATTGGAAATTTTTTAGAATCATAGAATGTGTGCACATGTGGTTTGTGTTTGTGTCTTACTAACTTCGAAATCCAAAAGGTTCTAACCATGATTAAGCAAAGTTCTTCCTGATTCAGGGCCCTCTGCGATTACAACGAGGCACGTGACTAGCCCACCATGAGGGAGGAGGAACATTGTCAAATGGCGGTAGAAGTGGATCAGGATCTCTGATAATAAGGGGCTGCCAAGGACCCATAAATGGAGGATTTACATATCTCAGTGGATCAAAAACTCTTCTTCTGCGCATATTTTTCCTTTGCTTGCGATTTTCCATAGCTGCGACAAACTTCTGCTTCCAACTGCCCCCATTCCGAAACCAATCAGCATTAAACTGCTCCTCGAACTTCTGTTTCCAAAGGTCATCATTTGAGGCCAAGTACCGCAAGTCTGAGCACAGACAACTCATCTTTGCTAAGTCAACAGCAGGTAGCAACTCCAGAATTTTCAGCTTTAGTTCAGTAGGAAGCCGCATAAAGCACGGAGGGAGTCCAAAACCAGCTTTCTCACACAATTCAATCAACAATGGCAATGCTAGTCCATCCTTCACAGTCCTCCAAAACTCGAAGACCTCTTTCTCAGGAGAAGTGCATAACAGGCCATCTTTACCAGCAATTTCTTCAGATAACCCACAATTAGACCATGCAACATTCAAGAATGGCACAAAGTGATCTTTGTCCAGCTGTACAGAATGCACTGAGGAATTGCCAGAAAGGGAACCATAAACTATCACAAACTTCCCTAGGGTCTGAAATTTCAGCTCAACAGTGGGAACAGCATTGCTGTTCTGGTCAGTATCACCATCAGCAATCTCAGGCAGTGAATAACTGAGAATACTAACTTGCGGTTCTGTCAAAATCCATTGATTCGGTACTTTTTTATGCAAAATTGGGTCCAAACGAACAAACCCTGACTCAAGCAGAACAGCATGAACAGCAATCAGCAAGAGCTTGTGATCACGGCCACCATCACTATCACTCAACTCCTTCGTGAACACTTTCCTTAAGAATCCAGGAACTGAAAACGATTTCCCAACCACGTCCGCATCTTTTTCTTCCCAATCGATTTCCATGACTTCCACCTCTTCTTCCTCTCCCTGATCTACCAGCTCTGGAGCTTTGTCGCTCAGGCTGTTGAAATCAGACGTATTGGTCGATTCCACCGGTAAATTGGAACTTAATTCTAGGGATTTCTGGCTCAGGTTGATAGAATCAGTCGATTCAGCCGGTAAATTAGGGCTTAAACCAGTGGTAATTTGGGATTCAGACGATTCTTGAACATTGGGATTAAGGGCAAAGAAGATAAGGTCGCCAGACGTAATACCTAGCATCTCGAGCGTTTCATCAGGTGAAGAGCTTCGAAGCTCGTCTTTTTTATTGAGCGAGAGACGAATGGAATCTGAAGAATGCATAGAGAAAGCGGATGATGCCGGGAGTGCCAGAGAAAGGCGGCGTTTGAGTTCCGGCAGGGTGGTAGACGGAGGGACGTCGACCGGAATGGTCTCTTTGGTCTCGACGGATCTAAGTCTCAGCTTCATCTTCACTCGCGGGAGAAAATTGCACAATCGCAGTTTTAGTCCATTACTTATTACTTATAGATTTTGATATCACTGATAATTTATTTTTGAATTATCAAATTATTAAATAATATTTTTTTTAAGACAATTATTAAATACGGAGTAATATATTAGTCATTTCGTAATTTTTTTTTTAAATTTACTCCATTTTTTTGAAATAAGGTTCAAATTTGCCATGAACGTAATCTGAAAATGCAATTAGACATTGAACAAAAAAATTCAATTAGACCACTGAACACTCCAAAAACGTGAAATTAGGCCACTTAACACTCCAAATGTATGCAATTTCACCGGATAGCAGGTTACCTGCTTACGTGGCAGTTGAGTTGGCATTTTAAATAAATTTTAAATAATTTACAATAAGTTTTAATAATAAATTTTTAAAAATTGAAAAAAGAATTAAATGTTTTTTTAAAAAAATTATTATTAAATTTATTAAAAATGCAAATTTAGCTGTCACGTAAGCAGGTAACCTGCTAAAATTGATGGTAACCTGCTATCAGGTGAAATTGCATGCATTTGGAGTGTTCAGTAGCCTAATTGCACTTTTTTCGTTCAGTGGACTAATTGTATTTTCAAGTTACGTTCAATGGCCAATTTGAACTTTATTCCTTTTTTTTTTAAAGGAAATTCACTCCATTAAATCTTCATATATAAAACATCATATCATTTTCATATTTATTTAAAAAAAAAAAAAACACAAGGAATTCATTTTCATTTTCACCATTTGTTCTCAATTATTTTAGCGCATTAAAGATCTACCACCTAATTTTAATTTCATGCTTTAGTCATTTCTCCCTTATGCTAATTCCAATATTTCAGACTAGATAATTATACTTTGTATGTTTTTTTTTCTCATTATTTACTTTATCTAATCTAAATAGTAAATACTAATAAAGATAATTATTTCATCCATACAACATTTACTAAATCTAAAATCAACAATATGATATGGTGAAATAAGGATTGCGTCCCCAACAAAATACAATAATACACACAAATACAGTTTAGATTAAAATAGTAATTCATTGCATTCACTTTTTGTATAAACCTCAACACACAATCAATTAGCATATTAAAATCACTAAATTACGTGTATTGCCCATTTAGGTATGAATTCAATGAGATATCAAAAATAGTAATTTACATATAACAAGAAAAAGTTATACTAAGTTAACATATTAAATTTACAATTTAGTTTATTTTCAATCATAAGTAATTTTATACTTGTCATTTTTTGCTTCTTAGATTCCTCCTCAATCAAGATAATCTTTAGTCGGGGTTTTGCATAAGAGTAAAGTGTTTGGATATAAAGATGAAATGTGCATCAAACATGGTGTAATTCATTGAGATATTACTTTGAGAAAGCTATACACATTAACATTTGACAACCATATTACTATATACTCTTGGAGTACCATATCTCTGTAAACATATACTATGTGGTTTGTGTTTCTGTCTTACTAACTTCAAAATCCAAAAGGTTCTAACCATGATTAAGCAAAGTTCTTCCTGATTCAGGGCCCTCTGCAATTACAATGGAGGAAAACATTGTCAAATGGCGGTAGAACTGGATCACGATCTCTGATAATAATGGGCTGCCAAGGAAGCATATCTGGAGGGGGATGCCTAGGACAAGGACACATAAATGGAGGATTTACATATCTCCCCGGACCAAAAGATCTTCTTCTGCGAAAATTTGTCAAACGCTTGTGAAGTTCCATAGTTGCGACGAACTTCTGCTTCCAATTGACCCCATCCGGAAACGTATACATATCATCAATACCAAACTTGTGAAACTGGTGAAACTGCTCCTCGAACTTCTGTTTCCAAAGGGCATCATCTGAGGCCAAGAACCGCAATTCTGAGCACAGAGAACTCATCTTTGCTAAGTCGACAGCAGGTAGCAACTCCAGAATTTTCAGAATTAGTTCATTAGGAAGGCGCATAAAGCACGGAGGGAGTCCAAAACCAGCTTTCTCACACAATTCAATCAACAATGGCAATGCTAGCCCATCCTTCACAGTCCTCCAAAACTCCAAGATCTCTTTCTCAGGAGAAGTCGATAACAGGCCATCTTTACCAGCAATTTCTTCAGATAACCCGCAATTAGACCATACAACATTCAAGAATGGCACCAAGTGATCTTTGTCCAGCTGTACAGAATGCACTGAGGAATTGCCAGATAGGGAACCATAAACTATCACAAACTTCCCTAGGGTTTGAAATTTCAGCTCAACAGTGGGAACAGCATTGCTGTTCTGGTCATTATCACCATCAACAATCTCAGGCAGTGAATAACTGAGGATACTAACTTGCGGTTCTGTCAAATTCCATTGATTCGGTACTTTTTTATGCAAAATCGGGTCCAAACGAACAAACCCAGACTCAAGCAGAACAGCATGAACAGCAATCAGCAAGAGCTTCAGATCACGGCCACCATCACTATCACTCAACTCCTCCGTGAACACTTTCCTTAAGAATCCAGGAACTGAAAACGATTTCCCAACCCCGACTGAAACCATCTCTGGAGCTTTGTCGCTCAGGCTGTTGAAATCAGACGTATTGGTCGATTCCACCGCTAAATTGGAACTTAATTCTGGGGATTTCTCGCTCAGGTTGATAGAATCAGTCAATTCAGCCGGTAAATTAGGGCTTAAACCAGTGGTAATTTGGGATTCAGACAATTCTTGAACATTGGAATTAATGGCAAAGAAGATAAGGTCGTCAGACGTAATACCTAGCATCTCGAGCGTTTCATCAGGTGAAGAGCTTCGAAGCTCATCTTTTTTATTGAGCGAGAGACGAATGGACTCCGAAGAATGCATAGAGAAAGCGGATGATGCCGGGAGTGCCAGAGAAAGGCGGCGTTTGAGCTCCGGCAGGGTGGTAGACGGAGGGACGTCGACCGAAATGGTCTCTTTGTTCTCGACGGATCTAAGTTTCAGCTTCATCGTCACTCGCCGGAGAAAATTGCACAATCGGCGGTTCACTGTACTTCTAAATTCTTGATACTACACTTCAAATCGAACCGCCAATTTTGAATCTTCTCTTTACCCTCTGCTATCTAGCATTTCTTGAAATCGGGAATTAAATACTGAGTTTTTTACACTTTTAGTCCCATGACTATAGTGGTACTGGCAGAATTGATCCACGACTTTTGAACCTTGCAATTTTAGTCCACGACTATTGATTTTTTTGCAAAAATGGTCCTTCCGGCCACTTTTCCGTCAAAATTTCACCGGAAAAAAAAATTATCTATTTTTAGTCGGGTTAAAATTGACATTTTACTTATCTCAAAAAATTAAAAGAAAAAAATTGATATTTGACTACATACAATATTACTGGGCTACATACTACTGCCCCAGGCGGCAGAGTTCCTGGAGCAGGCAGGGCTGTCAGTAAGCGGCGGAGCGACCGTGACGTTCCCCGGGCTAGTTGGGTTATCCGGCAGCAGCATTGGAGTGGTACATGTACTCCGTTGCCTGGGGCAGTAGTATGTAGCCTAGTAATATTGTATGTAGTCAAATATCAATTTTTTTCTTTTAATTTTTTGAGATAAGTAAAATGTCAATTTTAACCCGACTAAAAATAAATAATTTTTTTTTTCCGGTGAAATTTTGACGGAAAAGTGGCCGGAAGGACCATTTTTGCAAAAAAATCAATAGTCGTGGACTAAAATTGCAAGGTTCAAAAGTCGTAGATCAATTCTGCCAGTGCCACTATAGTCGTGGGACTAAAAGTGCAAAAAACTCATTAAATACTACTCCGTAGTTAGTTCTAATAATGAGTAGTGAGTTGTTGTAAAAGTAGTAATTAGTTATAAAAGTAGTTTTTTTATTAAAACAAAAAATTAAATTAAAAGTAGTTTATTTATTTGATAGTAAATTTGAATTTGAATCATAAATAAATAAGTAAAATGAACGGAAAATGACTCTTTAATTATACAATTTTTTCTTAAATTATGATTAAAGTAGTTTTAGTCCATTATGTTAAAATAAAATACAGAATAGACCAGGGAAAAAGGAGGATATCTCTTCATATCTCATTCATCATAGTACAATGATATATATACAAGATATCATAAAAACATATAATAATGAATGATAATTACATCTGTTACATCCGTTACAAACGTTACAAAACTATTATTAATGTCCACCATAAATCTATTTATAACACTCCCCCTTGGACATTATTTGTCCATGACCTTGCCTCATTAAAAACTTGCTAGGAAAACCCCGTGAGAAAAACCTAGACAAGAAAAGAGTACAATAGAAAAAAATATTCATGTCTCATTAAAAACTTCACTAGGAAAACCGCATGGGAAAAACCTAGTTGAAGAAAAGAGTACATGATATTTGTAAAATCATGTATTGTATTGATTGCCTCATTAAAAACCTTAACTTAAGAAAACCCTGTGGGAAAAACTTAGTTAAGAGAAAAAGAGTACATGATGTATGTGTCGTTAGTCAGCAATCTTCAGGATTGATTCATGTAAAATTATACTCCCCCTCAAGATAACAATCTTGATATCCTATACATTAAATTTCCAAAATGTATAGAGAAATCTTGTAAAGAGTACAACCATAAATATTGACTGAGATAATAAATAAGTCTATTATCAACTCTTTATTGAGCACATAATGGTACATATTATTCCTTCTATATGAGGATAATAACCCCATTCGCAACTCTTTAAAGAGTAAATAATGACACTTAAATAAATCCTCATTTCGGGAATTATAAATCCATTAGGGATTTTTCAAGATGAACTAGAGGATATATTTAGGATATTTTCAAGAGGAAACAATATTTAAGTTTCCTAATCACATTTAATATTACTAGGCATTTTTATGATAATATGTTTTCATAATTTGTTATGGGGGAGAAAATACATTTAGTCAATTTATTGACTATAAGAAAGATCATAGTTAGTAACTTACTAACTTTTATACTTCTTATTTTGTGATTTTCATTCATCACATTTTGAGAAAATCCATCAAGGATTTTAAATATAAGTAACAAGTTACCCATATAAACATGTGATAACTATAACTGTTAGCTACATATCTAATTTATTTACTGCTAGTTTTATTGAATAGCGGAATATAAAGCCATGACTAATATTGGGTCTCTGCGAAAACCCTCCACTCGCCTTTTATTAGCGAATTCTGATTTGTATGCCTTAATTGCTATTTTCTATGAAAACAGTTAGCACGCTGCAGGCGTTATACTACTATTTTCATTTTCTGGATCCAGACTTAAGTATTTATGAGCAATAAAGGCAAAATATGTTGTCGACAACTGTAACCGCTTTGTAAATATCTTTTATACACATGGCAATTTTGTATCAACCAAATATATGGCATTTTCCAAAAATATTTGGATTTGGTTGTTCCGCTTCCCCAGTATTTTAGTTATTTGGTGCACCTACAATTTTACTGGGGGTTTCCGCCTCTTAGACGAATATCTTCAGGATAAAATTTCTATATTTCTGGAGTGACGAAATTTCTATACTAGATCTAGTTTTGTAAATTCTTAAACCAATATATGCTTCTGGCATAATGGTAGAGATGTTTAGTCCTAGTTGGGGATTTCAACTCTTAAAATATTTTTTATGGACTTAGTCACTCTTTGGAATTTCTAGCAGATAATTTGTTCAATGTCTGAACTTCTGGTTTGATAAGGCTAGTACATGGGTTTGAAGATTTTTATCAATTTCTCGGCATTTAATTAATTAGAAATTTCAAATCTCCCCCTAATGCCGAGAAAAGATCTTATAATGCAACCATCATTGTTGATTTCTCATGATGGGATATAGCTAGAAGGGTTGCATACTAAAAAAAATGAACGCAGATAGGGAAATGCATCTTGTACTAGCGTATGTGATATGTAGTGGATCACCATATTGATTTTTCAATTTTGAAGGTCCCCAAAAATATATTTCCTCCAAAAATGCTTAATTTACTTTCCGAAAAAAAATGTCATAAATAATATGAGCAAAAACCTGCATGCATGGAGCTAACATCTCGTAGTATGTTGATGAAATTAGACACCAAACATTCAAAAAAAATCTTGTCTAATTTTCACTTCTGGTGAAGCCACAACTCTCATAATATAATCCCACTCCATATCATTGTTAAAATTTTGCTTGAGCAAAGCCAAGAGCATTGTACAATGCCCGGGCAGCAGTAAGCCTAACAAATTTTATGCAAATAAATTTAACAGATCATAGTAGCATTTAATCACATGCAATCTAAGGTTTAGCAACGACAGGTGCACCTTAACAGAACTATCTCAATGTTTTATGATTTAAAGCTCAATAATACTATGCTTTTAAAAATATTTGTCTTAAAAGTTTGCTTGACGTTGTAGCATTCATGGCCTATAGCAAATATTTGTTATCAACAAGAGAAAACAACAAATCCTCTTTGTTTTATGGTTCACATAGCTACAAAGCAAATTTGAACAAATAGAAGTTCTCAAATTCTGAGCACATTATGAACAAATGAAATTGTGTTGCCAACATCATAATTTGCTATCCCAAAAACCAATTAGGCATTCAAATACCAAGTCTGATGCAATGCGAGTATTGCTATCATCATGCAAATATATGTGTATATTCTCAAATAATCAACTTCTCAAGGTGCTCAAATAATTCAAGATACTGAAATTGATAGCAAATTTCAGCAACTTTAACCCAAATTGCAGAATTTTCTGGGGGGAAACGGTAACACATTTTGGCAAAAAAAATTTTGAGATACGAAGTTCTGCAAATCTAGAATGTACATAAAAATTTTCATGCCAATCAAAGGTCTAGAAGTATTTTTTCCAAAAAAGTTTCCAACACTGCGCCAGGCAGAAAAATAACTGGCAGCACACTGCCAGAACTTTACAAATTTTTCTGGAATAACCAAAGCATATTTTTAACAAAATATTTTTACAGACATCAAATATCACGAGTCTAGGTTCTCCAGAAAAAATTTCATACCAAAAGGAGTTCAAGAAGTAGTTTTCACGAATTTAATTTTCAAACTGCGCCGGTCAGAATTTTCAGGCAGTGATTACTATGTGAAAAAAAATTCTTAATTTGTTTGCTTCAGGCAAACCAGCATGATGTAGTCAATTTTGACTTTTGGAGAGGAGCATAGCATTAGAAATAGAAGTTGCAAGATAATTTTGTCATGTACTACTACTGGAGTACAATGTGACAATCATAATTGACGGGCGAGCTAACGAGTGACGAATAAATTAGTACTCATGGTTTACCTTCTAGGTATAACTATATTAAAAAGATTAGGTACTATCAAAATACTTAGATTTGATATCTATTTCAATGCCAAAGACTCATGTGAAATAATTTGTATAACAAATTAGCACCATCAATTAACTTTTAAAACAATACAAAGCCAATTTTACATTGGGGAAATCTTCCCTAGTGCTGTTATCTCTAATTTGTGTTATGACTTGTTGCCTTCTGGGCAATGGTATGTTTAGGATTTAAGATGTGGCCTATAGCATCATTGATCCATAAACTGTGTAATACTTCACGATAAGACCACACTTTGTACCTCATCATAGATCATTGACCACTGGTTGACAACGGGTATGAATATACGATACATGTAGATAGCATTCAATCATATATGCTCGCTGGAAAGCACTAATTAGGTCAATTGTGATCAAGTTACATGCGCCCAAACACGCAGTTTCAAAGCTACTAATAATCACATATAACCATATGCAAAAAAAAAATCCAGAACACATAATATTTGTATATTTATCACAAATGCTACGAAAATCAAAAGGCACTGAGTGTTCATCCATACTACCATTTTAAACATCACAAATACTACAAATTCATGATATAATTAGCCTTGCAAGCATGATCCTTGAGCTACAACTAGTTAGCTTTCAAACAATTCATTAAAAAAAATCAGGTTCACCAATCTATAGCAATAAATTGCATTATGAGATGAGAAAAACCTGGTGAGATTTGTAGTAGTGAATGTCAGCCCACAGAATCATTGCTGTCAGGATTTTGCAGAGTAGTTTTGCATAGGTATGATAAAATCA